TGACCCAAGTATCGCGACATGTATCGAATCGCAACACTCATGCCAATACTCACCTCTAGTCTAGATCAGTGCTATGATGCAGATTTTTATGTCATTTTCTGCAGCTATAGAAGATAGTTTGAACAAACTGCAAACTAACATGAGATGGTCTACTCAAATGATAAAAAAAGGCTTTCAAGGAGTTATGTTAAACAGGAACATTGTCAGTCGTAGCTTAAGAAGTCTGGAAACAGGTTAGTTATTATTTGGGGACTGTTAAAATCTGGATTTACTGGAAGACCAGCAGTAGGAAACTTCTAAGGGGTTTTAGGAGCACTGTGGTGCATGCCATCATATAATGCATGCCAGCTGGCAGCTGTGACACTCTGGATGTGTCTTGCTTAAATGCACAAAGAAAGAAAAGCTTTCTTTGGTGTGGAATGGTTGGAATTTGATCGCTTGGCACCCAGGCTTGAAGTGTTCACCTTCAAGCCTAAATGATTTGGTTGATAGAAACTAATAGAGGCCATGTTGTTTTGACAAGCGGCTGTTTAAACTTTGTAGATATGTGAGCTGAACCTGCTGGCCCTAAAATGATAATGCACATTATACTGTACCGTGATCCCTGTGGTGAAACATGATACTGGCAGTATCCTGCTGTGGGAATAATTTTCATCTGCAAGAGAGTTGACCTGAGTTTTTTTTTTTTTTTATTTATCTGTTTTATTTGATTAATTTGAGTAATCATTCAGGTGTAATAGAAAACAATATGAAGGTTTGAAAAACTGGGACTTGTGAGGATCCCCATTGTTTTTGTAGCAGGTCTGTTTCACCATTAGTTGCTTAAGGTAATAGAAATCTTTGTCCTCTGCTCATTTGTCTAAGTGTCTGATGTGTTTAATACTGACAGGTACTTTTTGGTCCCTCTGTGATGTAAGCGGTAAATATGTATGTAAAAACCAGGTTTCAAATTTCCTTTTGGATGATCTACAAGCCTGACGAAGGAATTTAAGTGCCGACAGCTATGTCTTAGTGTTTCTCGTTCTGAGCTGCAACTTGGCTAAGAATTACATTTCTGATTTCCAGTGACATCATATAACTGCAGTGAAATAAAATAAAGCATTTCATATGCGCTTAGTCTGTTCATGTTGATATAGAGTGGTATTCAATAAAGTATTGAAAGCGTTTATAATGTAGGCAAAATTAAAGTAACTTTTGAAAATAACCTTTAAGCAGATATTATTTTATTATTATTTATTTATTGATTTTGTGTCATGTTGTTGTGTATCATCTCTTTGTGGAACATGAGTCTATTGACAACATTCATATAGTCATATTTAGTTTAGATCATGTCTGTAAATAAAGGACCCCAAACAGATACAGAATCTTAGCCTCTTCTTCTTTGTATACTATGAATTCTACAGGCTTAATTTAATCTGCATCAGATGTAAAAGTTGGTTTAGGCAGAGAAAGTGAATAAAAGGAAAAGGTCAAAAAACAAAAAAAAAGCAACCAGATTGGCACACTTAGAAATTAGGTTGTTAAATAATCAAGCATTTATCAGCAAATGCCCAGGAAGGTAACACATTACTAAAAGTTTATGTTCATGATTTAATGTTTTCTTGGTCATTTAGTGAGTCTGGCAAAAAGCCTCAGAGCTGATGTGTGTAACTTTTATCTTAGAATAACAGAGTAAAAGTGTCTAAGTCCCTTTCAGAGGATGGTATCATTACTGTTGATCGTCTCAGCGCTAAAGAACTGAGAGGACTGTAGACAGAAAGTCTGGTGTTTAAATAAAAACATATATATAGTTGGTAAATGTGTTTGTAATTGGACTTCTTATATTTTTTCGATCAGTCATTGTGAGGTCATAACTTAAAATAATCCTGACTCATTTCCTTTTTTATAATTTCTCAGTAATTCTGTTTGTCAACAGCTGCTCTTTTTACAGAAGCTGTTCTTGGAATTTGTGTTTTCTTACTTTACAGTAAACAAAGCCACACATGTTAACTGAGACTTCCTGCGTTATGTTTGAAATAAAGCACACAAATGAGGAGGACTTCCAACTCCCCTGACTTGAACTACATCATTCATCTTCGCAGGAACGACCTGGATGCAGGAGATCCTGCCGCTGGTGCTAAATGGAGGAGATTTGACCCCTGTTCATACGGTTGTGAACTGGGACCGGGTCCCATGGCTCGAAGAAACAAGACTGGCGAAGATTGTGGATAAGCTGCCATCTCCACGTGCCCTTGTTACACATTTTCATTACAGCCTCATGCCCCCTTCATTTCATACCTCCAAAGCGAGAGTAAGTGGGTTAACTTGGTCACATATACTGATGTTCTAACTTAAAATTCACAAAACACTGCATATTTTTGTACTCTGGAACTTGTAGGTAATCTATGTTATGAGGAACCCAAAGGATGTCATGGTGTCTTCGTATTACTTCCACCAAATGGCTAACTTCCTTGAGGATCCGGGCACCTTTGATGAATTCATGGAGAAATTCCTGGAGGGCAGAGGTCAGACATAACCGCACAGTTAAAATATATGTGTTATTCCTGCCTCTACATGTCAGGCAAACCATATTTAGAAACTGGGTTTCTACATGTGACAGTGCAGCTTTTCTCTCAAGATCATTTCCTTTAATCATCATTTACTTTTTTAGTCAAGACTACATCTGGTATTAGACAGGCAGTAATGATCTGACCCACAACCATTTGGTCCTACTTTGTAAAAGGTTTGTGACAGAAGAAATCTCCCAATACTCGTTGCTTAAGGGTAGGTCTGAAACATTTAATCAGATTAATCAATATTGAAATAAACATCAACTAATTTAATGATCGATTAATCGTTTGGTGTTGAGACTCTAAAATTTGCCTCTAGCTGAAAGAGTGACCCACTTAGAGCAGCAATTATACCAAAATTGTAAAAAAAAAAAAAGTGTAAACATTTTGCATTTAAGGTAAAAATCATTTTCATCTGTCATCATGCTCTATTCAACACTCATCACAAAAACTCTTCTTTAAGGAACCTTTTGCTATCCGATTATTAATTGATTTAATCGAAAAAGTAATCGACAGATTAATCGATTTACAAAATAATCTTTAGTTGCAGCCCTACTTAAGAGTAGAGAATAAAATATAGCCTGATACCGCTGAGGCATTAGCAGCCTGAGGTAGACTGAAGACAGGAAAATTACTCAGCTTTTGGTAACATCTGCTGTTTTGAATTGCAAAATACTTACCCTCTAGAATTATAGGTAAGTGTTATTCCAGAGGGTAAGTATTTTGCAATTCAGGTCTAGAACTGCCACTGGCATCTTTGAAAAAGACTTTGGTTGCACAAGGAAGCTTTGCTTTGAATAAATCATTTCCCTGTCAGAGATACAGCATTGAAATACTGAAAAAGAAATTGGAGAATGCAGGCCTCCGGCAAATTTTGCACCATGTGCTAAAACTGACACATGATCTGGATTATTACTACATTTTAGTGAATTGTTCCTTGACATGAGGCACATGTCTGATTAAAAAAAGGAAAAATCCTTAAAAGACGTTCATAACTTTTCAAGTTATCCTGCTAACTAACAAACCAACAAACATGAAAGCATTGAGATGAAAACTGACCCGAGCTCAGACCAAAGCTATAACTTAGTGATTTGGATGTTTGGATTTGGGTGGATGTTGAAGGAGCTGGATCCAGTTATACATCCGCGGCCCATCTTAATTTTATTTTGTTAAAAACACTTAAATTCAATTTTTCCCTCCCCAAAAAATTTAAGTTCACTAAAATATAATGAGTTAAAGGTTAATAATGTATTTCCTGAGAAAATAAATGCCTTAAATTCCTTTCTGTTTATCACTCGTCTGCCCGATCTGCACCGGAAATGGGATCCTACGCTACTTCCGGGAGCTAACTTTTTCCGCTTCGGATTAAACATAAATCTAGGCTTTTTGAATTTTATGTCCTCCTTTAATGTTAACATTATGGTATATAGTGCGTAATCTAAAGAAAGAAAGAAACAACAGATAAACATGGTTTAATCATATTTAGCTCTGAGCATGTCCCATTATGACGTCATAGAAGCAGTTTAATGGAGAAAATGTGGAAAAACATCAAAATTGTTTCACAGACATTTTTGAAAGATGTGTGTTAGCAATTTTTAATGAGTTAAGGATAGAAATTGGTAATTTTAGTAACATAATTACATTATTTATAGACAACCAGATGTATATCTGATGGATCATGCTTCCGGGACGCAGAGGATAGTGGCAATGGTACTACCATACTGCAAACCACTGAAGTCAGCAGCAGTAATCCATGTTGGTTGGAAATAACTGCTGGCTGTTGTAATAAGCTGTACTGTATGTTTTGTGAGTAGTGAAACTGGTGTGCATTCCAGTGTTAAACTTGTTGATCTTTATGTGTTTGGCGCATGATAAGCTCCATAAAAGCCATTAAAAATGGTGCATAGTTCTGCATGCTGCCTGAACGGCCCATTAACATCAGCTACACATTAGGGTGTTTCTGTGAATTGATAAACTGTGTCTAAACACTACCAACCAAAAATGAATGAAAGTTTTTGTCTAACTTTCAGATTTTTTTTTTTTTTTGCTTGCTCCTGAGCGGTGATGCTTGCTCCTGAGTGGTGATCTATAT